GAATAAACCAACAAACCGTAATAGGCAGCCCTCGCTTGATACTGAAACCGTTGGTAAATAGTTACATTTTTTGTTACATGAAAATATGTGCTTGCAATCGTATCATTGATTTCGTCTAAACAAACAGAAAATAATAGAAACAGTATACAAAGAAAAGTCGTATACAAACAGAAAAGGATAGAATTAGCCTATTGTTAGAAGATCTTTTTCATTGCACTGCGATTTACGATCATCGACCTCATCCTCTACTGAAAGACTTGACAGGACTACTTTCGTCCAGGACCACCTTTCATCAGCTTTTCAACGATAACTAGCACATAATCTGTTTCACGGTATTTGACTCTAGTACCTGTTAAAGAAAAGCCTCAATATTATTCCAAAATTTTTCCTGTAAATTGATCAAAAGGTACCACTTCAAAGAAATAACCCACTTGTATCACTCACTTAAGTATGTCTGTCTTACCTGTGAATGGGCTAATATCATATCCTTTTCCTGTTGAATTTCGTCGTTAATAAGTTCCAAATAAATTCTTTTCATGAATTCAACACTGACTATTTGGTGAAATAATTGTAAAACACTATTCAATACGGGGCAGTTTTCAAAGGTTTTCGTTATTATTTGGTCGTTATTATAACATTTTTTTCATACCCAACTACAACCCTGAAGAATGTACTTGATGCAAGTACTTGATTACTTGCTAAGTACTTGGAAAAATTGGCAAATGTTTTCAAAATTTCTCACTTGCCATGTACTTTCAGAAGTACTTCTCAATGATAAAAATACTTGCTTTTATTGCTAAGAAGTATCTTGTGAAAGTCCTTGGCAAGTAAGGGGTTTTTTATCATGCTAAACCGAAAAACACATATTTAAAAACCAAAAGGGTTTTTCTGTTTGACCAAAACACTAAAAAGTGTTTTTTAGATAGAGTCGAAAGGTTTTGTAGCTTTGGTAAAAACCAGAAGGGCTTTTTCCTAAACGTATTTGGTTTAGGAAAACATCGTTTTTGGTTTTTCAAGTAGCGAAGGATTTTCCAGTTTGAACAAAAACTCAAAAGGGTTTTTTAAAAAGAGTTAATCGAACACTTTATATTTCGAAATCTAACAAACAATTTATCTTCACGCCGGTGAACTCTCATGTAGCAATTTCTATATAAAGAAAGAGTGAAAAAGAAAAACTTTTCATACGAGATCTCTCAAAATAAAGTATTTCTTAAGGTAATTGACATAGTGATTTTGCTATGTTTTACCCGATTTTCTCTTCGGAAACAATCCAAGTATTTGCAGTTTTACTTTTCAAGCGCTTGAACAAGTGCTTGTCAAGTGAAAAATCAAGTACTTGCACGCTTACTTACAAACAAATTTACTTCTGGAAAAAAGACAACTACCGGCTTCATTACTCAGGCGGAGTAATTCTCCCAAGTACTTTGGCATAAGTACGTTCACTAGGGACTACTGTTCGTAAATTTCTTTTTTAAAGAATAAACTATTTCTGGAGAACGCTTAACTCAAACAAGTTCAAACTTTTATCATGGATAGTAGTCATACCAAGACAGCTCTGGTAAAAAGGACGGGGACGTATAAGGTTAGAAATCAGCCCACTCACTTTTGGGAGTAAATCTGGCTTAGTATCGACGAAAAACGACGGAATATTCAATCCCAGATGAAATAAGATACATTTCTTCACTAAAAACCTGTTCATTTCTCGACAATACCACTCACATCGGCAACCTCCAAACCAGCTCTAGATGATGAGTAAACGCTACTTGTCTAATCCTTCTTACACTCATGGAGACTAAAAACACATGAATCGATAGCCCTTGAAATTCTCCACAAACTGAGCTAGTCAGCATATCTTGACTGCTGCCAGTCATCACAGACATGCAAAAGAAACGTTCGAGTACCGAAAGTCACAGTGGAGCCCCCTTTCAGTCACCCTCTTTCTTGCAACCCAAAAACTTTCATACTTTTCTATAATACGCTGTTCGATAGCCCTTGAAATTCTCTACAAACTGAGCTAGTCAGAATGTCTTGATCGGTTGGGCTAGTTTGCACAGACATCCAAAAGAAGCGTTCGAGTGCCGAAAACACTAGCAGAGCACTCTTTTACTCAATATTTTCTGGAAAAACAAACCATTCTACTCTTCTCTATAATATATTGTTCGATAGCCCTTGAAATTCTCTACAAACTAAGCTAATCATACTCTCTTGATCGTTTGGGCCAGTAATCACATACATTCAAAAGAAGCGATCGAGTGCCGAAAACACTGGTAGGGCATACGTTTAGTCACATTTTCTCCGACAATGAAAAATTATGCCCTTCTCTATAGTATACTGTTCGATAGCCCTTCAAATTGTCTACAAACTGAGCTAGTCAGAATGGTTCCACTGGTCGGACCAGTTACGAATGACATGTAAAAGGAGCGTTGAAGTACGAAAAACACGTGTAGCAAACTACTTTAGTTGTTTTCCTGTCCTAATGAAAAGTTATGTATTTTTTTAAAATATACCGTTGGATAGCCCCTGAAATTCTCTACAAACTAAGTTATTCAGAATAACTGAACTTCTGGGGTAAGCCATTAAAGATATGCAAAACAAGCGTTTGGGTATTATTTATGTAGTAATTTTTCTTATGTGACATTTCCAGGGGGAAACAGCTAATTTTTCGAATTTCGTCGATTTACACCAACTTTCGATGATTTTTAGCGATTTTTAGCTATTTTAGATTTAAACCGTTTAAATGGAATATCAGCTGTTTCCTCACCAGCTGGCTTCTCCCATTTAGATTTTCTTCCAACGTTCCCAGTTTGTAGAGGATACTTCGAAGTATATGTCCGGAAGTTTTCTCGGCTTACTGACATTATCTAGCTGAGAAAAAATTAATTACTTAAAAAAATATTGTGTACATTTTTGAACAAGGGACTATTTTTAAAAAAATTTTGTGTTCATTCCCCATTCATCATAAAAACTTGGTTCTTGCCTAGATCGATAGAGAACTGTACGGAGAATATTTACTACAGAAAATATGTAACTATTTTTGTTCTTTCTTTTCTGTTATTGATTAATTAGCACTAATTAACGTTAATTTAGCCTACTGTACTAGCTTACAGTCCCATTTGCAAAATAAGAACTCAACAGAAGAATTTTAAAAATGCCTCATCTGATAGAGAATTTCACGGACTACAAGACTGGCTAACTTAAAAGTTTTAGAATTGACTTCGTTCATCAGAACAGCCCCGTATTCAAAAATTTAACAACAGTTTTTAAAGTAATTAATTTTTTTTGCTCACCCAAACAACGTATACTTCGAAATTTCCTCTACAAACTGGGAAAAATTAACAAAAAAGTTCAAAACTAAAAAATTTCTCTAATTATTAGCTAACGAGGGAAGGTTTCCAGGTGATAAATCGCTTGTTGATCGACATCTAGTGGGTTATAGGTCATCGACCATACTGATTCCGAATATGACCATGAAAGTTGCCTTTGGCCCTTTGAAGATCCGGTTTTATGGAAAACCAGTTTTTCAGAAACTCTAAATAATAACCAAAATCTTTGTTAATGAGACATAATTGTAGCCCGCACATTTTTGATTAAAATGAGACATCTTCCAGCTCTGCATGACCTTTCTTTGCAAAGTTATACAATTTACAAGAAAAGCTCTAAATTGATTTTTTCCCGCTTATTTCTGTAGCTTTGACCTGACAATGAATATTTAGGGCTTTTCTTATAAATTTTATAATTTTGCAAAGAAAGGTCGTGTAGAGCTGGGAGATGTCTCATTTTAATCAAAAATGTGCGGGCTACAATTATGTCTCATTAACAAAGATTTTGGTTATTATTTAGAGTTTCTGAAAAACTGGTTTTCCATAAAGTCGGATCCTCAAAGGGCTAAGGGCAACTTTCATAATCATATTCGGAATCAGTATGGTCGATGACCTATAACCCCCTAGATGTCGATCAAAAAGCAATTTATCACCTGGAAACCTTCCCTCGTAAGCGAAAATATTATCACAACCCCCCGAAACCAAATTTCGCTCTAAGAAGCATTTTCAAGGATAAGTGCGGGTACGAAAGTTGTTCAGAATCAGATTCCCAGGAATATGAACGAGGGATGTTTCAAAATTCGTTAAACTGGATCTTTAAATTAAATTAAATGTTACTAAATTATAAAATTTTAAAAACCGTATTTTTCAATTTAAAAATAGAGCTTAATGAATTTTGAAAAATCCTTCGTTCATATTCCAGGGAATCTGATTCTGAACAACTTTCATGCTCACACTTTTCCTTGAAAATCCTTCCTTCGAGCGAAATTTGGTTCAAGGTGTTTTTAAAAATACTTCTGACTCCAAAATGCCATTGGGCAGGTCAAAGCGGAATAACTCAGTCGAAACTTGACCGAATTTTTTGTAGATACATCCTGATGTTCTCTATCGATTGACATCAAAACCGAGGTTATATGTAGAAATCTGAAAATTTTATAAAGTTTTGGAATATATACTTCAAAGTGTCCTCTACAAACCGATATGAAAAACCGAGTGGAGAACGCCTCCGCCCCCTTAAATTTTATGTTTTTTAACAGAGTAATAATATTACAAAAACAGAATAAGAGAATATACTCACGTGCCTTTAATTTTCTCAATGGCATCGCACGACAAATAATGTGTTTTGTGTTGTTCCCTTTGTAGAAAAACAGTCCTGCTTTTTCTAAAATCTATCCCGCTTTAGTTCTTTTTAGTTGACATCTACTGAGTCAGTAGATGTCGTCTTGTTTTTCTGTTTTCAAAGAAGCATACGAGGTTAATGATGACTGGAATTCTGATGAGAAAAACACTCCAATTTACTACTATATTAGTAAAATATTGATTTCGTTGACAGAATAAGACAGATATGTTTCTATGGTGACCACCCAATTCATGTCTACTTTCAAATTTCGTTTTCCTATTATTATTTCAAGAATTTTCATTATCGGTTATGGAATTTGAAACGAATTTCTCACGATTGATATGGCGGAAAAAAAGAAGAAGAAGGGAGGCGGTAAAAAGAGTAAGAAAGGTGGTGAAAATGTGTATGAAGCACTCTTAGCTTACAAGTAATCATAGATCTTCATTTTTTCTAAAATCTCAGATGTTTTGATCTTGTTTATTTAAGGATTGGTGTCATCGATAAAGAATTAGAAGAATGGCATTACAAAATAAATCAAATCGAAGAAGATAATGAACAACTGAATGGACGAGATGCTGTATTAAGAGAAGAGTGTGCAATGAGTATGAAAACATTGGTGACAAATGCTGTACAATTTGATAAGGAGAATATAATTTATCCAACTGTGAGAAAAGAAGATGTAAGAACAGTCATTTGTCTATTTTTAAGGTCATAGCTATACCTGTTCATTTTTTTTCTATCTTTTAAGGTTCATGCTATGTTACATAAGAAAATCGAAGCAGCAAATCGTGAAGAAGCTGAAATTAAAGGTATTTTTACTTCATCTTTCATAATACAAGCTTCATTCTAATAGGATGCTTGCTGTTTTGTAGAAATTCACGATCAAATGTTTCATGTTGAAGTTGAAATATTCAAAGTTCGTAGTCAAATTAAACATTGGTTAAAATATCGTGATTATACAAGAGGTGATGAACTAAAGGCAATTCAAGCACTCGAAAGAGAATTAGCTTATATGATTGACAATTATGCTGTATTATCAAGTAAGAATAATCGGGTTGAAAAACTTTGATTATGACTATATTCTCTGTTTTTTGTTTTAGAATATTTGGAAAAAACGACAACAAATGAACGATCACAAATAACAAAATTGACAGAAGATAAAATTGAACAAAAAACAAAAGCAGTCACTGAAGTAGAACAAATTCTTCTAATGTATTGAAAAAGAAAACAAAACGATTTCATAATTTTTTAGAGAGTAGCTATGGGACTCGATAGATATACAAAGAAAATGATGAGTGAGAATGAATATATGAATAGAGAGGTAAGTTTTTCTCTATTTGTAATTATTCAGTTATCTCAAGTTCAATTTTAGATTGCCACTCGTAAACGTGAAATACATGAATTAGAAGTTCAACTATTGGATTTAGAACAGAAAAATATTGATATGTCTGAGAAATTAAATATAGCACATAGAACAGATACTATTACCTATACGTAAGTGTCGTTTCCCTAGTGAACCTTATTGTAACCAAGATCTTAACTTCTTGAAATTTTCCAGTAAAATATTGATTTAAGATCTTGATAAGAAAATGTAAGAATTCAAGATGTCAAGATCTTGAACATCCTAGAATTTCTTGACTTCTTGTACTAAGAGCTTGGAAATTCTTGAATTTACTTTTATTCTTTCTATTTCTTTTATACTTCTATTATCTTATTCTTCTATTCTATTTTTATTATTTCTTGAACTTAATTTTAATTGTGTTTTGACTTACACTCTCGTGCAAATATAAGTGCGAACATTTTCACACTTACGATGAAACTTATCCAAGTGATATCTTCCGATTTCGTTCGTTGCTACGTCGACCGATAGGGGTTATTGAGAGTAAAAAAGCCTAAAACGTTTTTCTCCCATGGCTCGTTAACACCCGGTTTTTCTGGAAAACCAATTTTTCGGAAACTCTAAAAAATAATTAAAACTTTTCTTAATAAGTCATGGTTGTAGCCCGCACATTTTTGATTAAAATGAGACATCTCCCAGCTCTACATGACCTTTCTTTGCAAAGTTATAGAATTTACAAGAAAAACCCGAAATGTTCATTAAAGCTACATAACAGAAATAAGAAGAAATTAATTGAGGACTTTTCTTGTAAATTGTATAACTTTGCAAAAAAAAGGTCATGCAGAGCTGGGAGATGTTTCATCTTAATCAGAAATTTGTGGACTACAATTACGCCTCGTTAAGAAAGATTTTAATTATTTTTTAGAGTTTCTGAAAAACTAGTTTTCCAGAAAACCGGGTGTTCAAGAGTCTTGGGGGAAACTCCTTTTAGGCTTTTTACTAGCTCGATACCCCCTATCGATCGACGTACGAATGAACGAAATCGGAAGATATTACTTGGATAGGTTTCCTCGTTAGAACTTCGAACTTTTTCTCTTCTTGAACATAGTTATTTAAAGAAGAACATATGATTCTATATGGTCGTATATCTGATGGCAATGAAAACAAAATGTACAGAAAACTTTTCACTTAAGGTCTTGCAAGTGAAAGATTCAAGAATTCATGATCTTGACTTCTTGGTGTTTTTTCCAAGATCTTGGATACAAAAAGTTTCTCTAGAGTTAATAAAATATTATTGGACGTACATAGAAATAGTAAATTCTTTTAGTAACACATTTATGACAGAATTTAATGATGATATGATTAAAAATTTTGAAAGGAATCTATTATTAGAAGTTGATCTTGGACAATTAACATTGAGAAAGGAAGAAGATCAATATGCATTTACCAAAGTCTTAGGTAAATATTTTAAAAAGTAGCTATATTAACATTGAGATATACATGTTAGATGACTATTTGTAGATGACCTATTGGAATATACGCCAAGGTTAACTGGTGACGATGACGATGTAAGTGAACAAATTATCTGTTCAGATAATAGTCTGTTATTTTTCCCTATGTACTTCTAGACGATCGTATCACCCATGGCAACGTTGTGTTTGGAAGGTACTCGAATGCATGTGTTTTCTCCTCCAAAATTGACGGAAGAAGAGGATAAATGTCTAGAATTCAAACCACCAACCTGGATCGATACACCTCATATTAAAAAAGCATTGAGTAGAATAACCGTATGAAAGAACGACAAGCCAATTTTTTTTCTTTGTCATAACCTGTACAAAGACCAATGAGAAAAGATACTGTATTAGAAAATTTTTATAAACTCTTTTCTGTACGATTTATGTTAGATTTTTTTCTAAAATTTATACAAATACAAAAATTAAAGAAAAAAACAACAATAAAAAACAAAACAAAGACATGAGACTCTTAAGCTGATACGGATGATGATGATGATGTACTTGAATTGGAAATAGGCGATGTTGTTTGTATCGAATTTGGAGTATTCGATCGTGTATTCGTATAGGCAAATGAACTACTTGCTGTTAGTGCACATAATTGATAAAAATCTGATTTAAAATCGTGTGTAAGTAACAATAGATTATCTTGTTGTTGTTTAGTACCATCTGATGTTAATAATAATGATGGTATTAAGTCATCATCATTGTTTACTTTTTCTAATTTTGATGATGGATGAGAAAGTGAATAATCAATATTATCAAGATCATCGTATGACCATGGATATTCATATATTTGTTGTAATAATTGTTGTTGTTCAATAGCAATCTGTTGTTCATCAATAAAATTTAGACTAGATAATTCATCATCATCATCATCTTCATCATCATCAAGACACATCTAAATAAATGATATGTACTAAGTTTAATCATAGAATAATCAGAAAGTATGGATCAAAGAGGTAAAAAAAACGATGTTTATTATTTACATTCATCGTTTGTGTTATGAGATCAATTGGATAACGTTCAAAGAATTGAGCCTGAATATAAATCTATATTTACTTACCACCTGAGCTGTATCAATATCATTTTGATCATATTTTCCCATTGGTATTGGTGTTGATCGATGTTGATGATTTTCCTCTTCGTCTTCACCAAACATTGCTCGATATTCGGCAAATCGTGTTTCCCAACAATCTTTTGACCATGCTCTTAACTCTGTTTCAGAACCGTATGTTGATAATAAATTTAATTCAATACTGTGTTCTCGAATCGTATCCATATGATAGACATTTGTACATAGTTCTTCTTCTCGTAGACATACTTTCCGATAAATATCTGAATCAGATAATACACGTCTTAGTATTAGTAGACGTCCAAGAATACCGGGAAAAACAAGACGTTTTTCAGGTTTGATTGGATGATGTGTAGAACGAGTACCGAGACAAAAATGAGCTTCGCGTTGTTCATAGTCTAGAAACAATTGATTTATATCCGAATATGTACTATCCGTTGAATCAATATCATCTTCATCTGTATTGCATTCCATATGAGTTGTTGTTGTTGTTAGAATTTTATCGAATGTTTCAGACCGTGGTAATGTTTGGTCATTTTCATCGATAGTACTATTTGTGGTGGTTCTAGATGAAATTGTTTGTTGTGGACCATCAGATGATGACGAATGACAACAGATCTCATCGAGACTATCAACGGATAAATCTTTAACAAGAGTAGTTGGGACTATGTGTTCGTTCACAGGAATTGACTTCTGATTAGTCGTTCGACGATTTGTTCGTACAAACGGACACAAAACATTAGAATCATTTTCCAATTGTTTTTTAAACTGTTCTAGTTCATCTGCAGGTATTACTGGCCCTATAACAGATTCTTATCATTAAAAAATAATCTTTTTATAATGATTGCTACATACCATCATAGATCGATATGTTTTTCTTGTTATTATTAGTTTGCTGTTGTTTCACCGGTTTATTAATAGTCGCACTATTTGTATTAAGCCAATTGTTGACAATATGATCGCTCTCGTTATCGATTGTATTTCGTTTTAAACTATCAAATGAGACATCTCTAATATCCGAAGACATTGTTGAATAACCTTCATCACCTAATCTATGTTTTTCTTCAATACTTGATTCACTCGATGTTGTATTCATTTGTACATCTTGTTTTTCTTTATTCTCATCAGCAGTATCTGTTGTTGCTATTGTCCATGAAATGGCTTTTGCCGTTTTTGTTATCGATGGTGATGTTGAAAAAGATGTTGATGTTTTAGTACGTTTTGGATTACTACTAGTACTTGCTGTTGATGATCGAGAACGAGCTGTCGTATTCTCTTTCGATTTTATTCGTGGTGGGATTGATGTCCGTTTTAAATAATTGGTATGGATCGGTGCTGTGCACGGTCGTTTAGTAACTGAAGTTCGAGTTGCTAATACAACTTTTTTTGTGACAGGTTTTATAGGTGCTGATATGGGTGTTTTGGGTGTCTGTTTAATGCGGGACTGTAACACCGGTAATCTGGATGATTTTTGTGCAGATGAGAGTGAATTTGTTTGTGATAGTTGAAATTTGGTTAGCGGTGATGAAGAAGATTCAGTATTGCGATCAGTAGTGGCTGTTGTGCGACGATATGGTAGACGAGATGTACGATTAGTAGTACTGGATGCAAGCGCTCTGGTAGTACTGCATCGTTGAATTTTTGAATTTTGATCATCCGGTTTATGCACCGGCATTGGTACAGTAGTAGTCAGTTTTAGTGATGATGCTTTTTCAATAACAAATGTTTCTGAACGTTGAATTAACTGGTGCCCGCCAGTAGAGCATAATGAGAGATCATTTGATTCGTCTACTAAAATATTAGCTCAAATATTTGTAAACATACTGACTTATCATTCTAAACTACTCACTAGGGCGCTTTTCTTCTTTATTTTGTTCTATATCTTAAAAGAAAAAGAAAAAATAGTTTAGACGATGGACGAAACACGAATACATTTAATACACACCTTCTTTAGATGTTTCCTGAATTAACGGCGATGCATTTGATAATGTTGTCGAAAATGTTGATTCTTTATCGTAGAATGACTAAAGTCAAAAGAACAACTAGTAACAATTTGAACTCTTTCAAAAAAAAGTAGGATCTGATAATTTATGCTTTGTAAATCTACACAACTGTGTTAGTCAAAGTAAAGACGCATTCGTGAAAATATGCATGATCAAGCTCATCACTGTATTTCTTAATATGTAAAGCATTTTGATTCTAGTCCAATTATTCTTCTATCAAATAATTGAAGTTTTAACAGTATTATGATACTAAAAGTTCTTTTATTCTTACCAAATCTAGTGCCCAACTTTGTGTTGCTGAAAAACTACGTAATGTCGTTGACGATGTTGAGAATGTATCATCTGTTTGTTTTTCTTTAGTATCACTATTGAACTGTTTAAGAATATCCGATGTTGTTGTTGTTGATGGTGTCTTTCTTCTTAAATGACAATCTATACACGAATGAGTTAATTCACACGGTCCAAATAACGACTTCTTTTTCTATAATAATGTAAAAGATTTATTCGTTATATATTCAGGTAAAAAAAATAAAAAAAAAATGAAACAGTTATTAATAACTGACCATACCTCTGTTTGACTTGAACTATTAATATTTTTACTATTTATCGTTTCACATGATACACTACGTAATGCTTTTTTATTACCTACTTTACCACACCAGGATAACTGTAATATATAATAGAATATATTTTCAATGTCGTTTAATATTGAATATGTAATAAACTTCTACTTACTTGATTCAATCGTGAACGTTTCGATAAATCATTAATAATTTGATAAATTTCATTGCATTCTTTTCGAATATTCTAAACAAAATATAAAGGTCAATATTTAACATTACATAAAATTATTTTATTTATGTAATAAACGATTTTGTGATTTAAATGATAAAAAAAATAAAATAAAATAAAGTGGAGACATAACTCTTCGAGTACAATATAACAAAAAAACTCTAAGATTTTTATCAACGGTTTACATTTTTAAAATTGATATTCAATGTTATCAAAAGTTTACCATTAGATATATTCGGCGAACTGTTGAACACACTATTGTCGTCAAGGAAGAGATAAAAATGAGAGATTTTACGCAAAAAAACATTTGGTCATGTTATATTTTTATTCATAAAGAGATAGAATGTTCAAAAGAACTTCACGTCCAGCTAACTGTAATTCCGTAACGTTTTTTGATGATTTTGTTTTATTTGCAAAAATTTTTCAAAAAGTTAGAACTCAAAAGTGAATGAGCCATTTTGTAGACAATTCAATTCTCTATCGATTGACCTGGTTTTAAAAAATTTTAGCAAAAATCTCTTAGTTAGGAAATTCAAAACAATGCGAGCCGCTTTATTAAATTTATGAAAAAAGATATGCAAAAAGTACAGGGGCGTCTATCCCCATCTGAATATTTGAGGCATTTTGTACCACCTCGAACGTTCAATCACTCAGTGTATAATCTTAAAAAATAAATTCTACAGCAAAAAAGCGTACCACCTTACGTTTATTTGAGACATTGTGCCTCAAATGTTCCACAGGATAGACGCCCCTGAAAAAGTAGCACTCAGTGTTTTGAATTTCCTAACTAAGAGGTTTTCGCTAAAACTTTTCAAAACCAGATCAATCGATAGAGAATTGAATTGTCTACAAAATGGCTCATTTACTTTTGAGTTCTGAATTTTTTGAAAAATTTCTGCAAATAAAACAAAATCACCAAAAAACGTTATGGAATTACATACGCAGGTAGAGTTAGCTGGACAGGTCGTTCAGAAGACAGAGTAATAAAATACGCGTGTACGAATTCTAGAAGAAATGATATATTTCAGATACCAGATAGAATTCATTGTCCTTATTTTGTAAAAGAAATTAATGAAATTCAGTCATTACTAATTGACTATTGAATTTTTTATCAGTATGACACTCTATGACAAAATAGTCTCAGTCTATTTTTGAATAGAAAAAGAAAAAGGTGTGTAGTGACTATTAACTTAATTTTTATTATTTATAGTAAGAGTACCATCGATAAAACTTGAAAATATTACAGTTGAATAAATTTGTATAAGTAAAAATTTTTTTAACATGTACAAATGAATAAATACGGATGACCGTTAATAAAACATACTTGTATAAAATATTATTGTAGACTGTATGTCTAACTAATCTTTATTGTATAAAGGTTAACGGTCAAGAAAACAGCGACAATGTTTGTTGAACACTTTATATTATACCATTCTTACCACCTGTATAGACGACTTAACACTTCACATTTAATTAGATACACTTGCGATAAAGTCTCAAGTGAATAAATTACAATAACATATGTATAGGATAATGTTGAACATCTTACATTGATTTAGAGGTTAATTCTAACAGTTTGTATATAAAATGTTATCAATCTTACCGAGTATATGTTTAATTACTACTGTCTGATTTATTTTAATTTGAAAAAATAAAATAGTTGAACAGTGTAAATTTCTAAATTGGAACTACATGCTTTTATTCAGTCAGTAGTACAGTTTTAATGTTTTCTCACTAGTCTGATTAAATGTCTGTCTGTTATACAGATGAGAGAAAAGCTGAAAATTATGGAATTTTTCTATTATTTCTCTCATATCTAAAACTGTGATTCTTTCTTCAATTATCTCAAAATTTATAGGCATGAATTCGACAAAATGGCCTAAAGTAGTTAGAGAATCAGCTGAGTTCGTAGCAGATTCAGAACAAAAATATATACAAATTTATCAGGCAGGACAAAGCCGAGTTATCTTCATGCGGATAAAAATGTGAGAAAAAAAGAAACAGACGATTTATACCAGTAACCTTGACTTGTTTGTTAGAACATAATTCTTCAACAAGGTCTTATAACTTCTGATTCACAGTTTCTCTGTTTGAGAGGGAAGAAAAACTAACACTTCTATTCAAGAATATATTTTAGATCATTATCTTGACATAAATGACGATGTTCTATGGGATTTTATATGATGAAGGTCATTAATATTTAGTTTCTCATGAGAACAGTGAACAATTTTCAAATAAATTCTATAAATTAGAACTTACGATTAGAAATAAGGATGTTTTTGATCTCATCTTTGTATGATTCGTATCTTTCGAGTATATATAATTTCTCACTTTTCTTCGTTATATTAACAATGACCATATTTCATTCTACTCTATACATCAACACAACATACTCATTACACACAGTTTTCTTCAAGAGATTTTTTTTTTTTTTTTGTTTTATTAGAAATTTAATTCCACATAGGGTGGTTAAACGAAGAAAACGTTTGATGGGTCACAACTATTTTCTTCTCTTTTTTCTTTGTTTGTTCATTTATAATGATAACGTTGTTGAATGAAAAAAAAAAAAGCAATGTCCGGTGATCTTTTTGTGTTTTTCCTTTTTCCTTTTTTTTCTTCTTTTGTCACATCTGCTTTTCTTATTCAGTTCTCATTTATATATATGTAACAGTACAAAAGAAAAGAGTACAATTGTTTCAACTTGGAAACATGCCATATTGAATTTGTTTATGAAATCAACTGCCGACATAGATACAACAAAAACCATAGAAGATTTAATCCGAATATAATTGCTCTGTATAAAGACTCTCTGTCTATTTCAACTAACAGATTAAAAACATAGGCGCTCAATAGAAAACATGCTATTTGGTAATTATACACTTCGAATTTCTTCTTTTTTTTTTTTGTTTTTTCATCTCATACAAAACATTGTGAAGAAGAAAAGAATAAAAACAATGTACAAGTGAGATAGTGTCAGCAAAGTGATAAAGAATGATAATGGTGATGATTGTTTTGTATCCATTACATATAAAAATGTATTCTAAAGTTAGAGTGAATCCTTATAAGATAAAACTTATTCCATTTAGAGTTCTTTATTAGACTATGTTAGTTATATAATTAATTTCGACTCATTTTTCCAGACATATATTATCCTCTTTATATTATTGACTCACATAGTATAACTTTTATATATATTTATTACGTCAAAATTGATAATGTTTATGACTGAACGTAACATATTTGGATAGTACAAGAGTATAGTTCATAGCAAACAATGTTAATTTTAATTTTTATCACCTTTTTAAAGGTTAACAATTTTTTTTTTTCTTTCGAAAAAAATATGACTCAATATATTATATAACAATTTAATAACAATATCAATATATCAATTCTTTTAGCAATAATATAGAAAGCTAATATTTTTGAACATATAACTGTTAGAAGTTCAATTTGATTATTTTGCAGTACCTCTAGGTCTCTTAAAAAAATAAATGATACATCATCTTTATGTACAAGAAAAAACTAAAAAAAAACAAAAAAAATGTCATTTTTTTCAACAAGAATCTCGATTCATCGGCTGACATATATATGATCTTATAAACTTTTTTTATGTATTCATTTCTCTTCTTTTCTTTTTTTTTTGTTGTCTTACCTGTTGCATAAGTAATGTACGAAATACCATTTGTGTAACATTCTCCAAAAACATTTCATATTGTTTTCGTTGATAACAATTTTCATTAAATAATCGTAAATTTTCATCTTCTAATTTTGATATATGTAATTCTAATAGTTCACATCGGTGATCAATCACATGTCTTGAACACTAAAAACAGAACAACAATACAAATTATCTATATCTTTTGTTTCATAAAAAAAAAAGTAAGATACAAAAGTTTATGTTATAATAATTAAATTATATATTATATAATATTAGAGTTCAAAACATAAAAAATAGTCTGTGTTATTGTATCAAATTAACCACAATAGACTCATCAATCGTCTTCTATAGATAAAATAAATAATTGAATAATGACATGTTAAATATTAGACAACAAAACAAGATTTTCCGGTACTACCATTAAACATGACCATAGAGATCGACATACAAAACAAGAACCTAAGTAAACATCACCTATGGGAAAAATCGTCTGACATCCGGGCGATATACGACTATTTGCTATCTAGATTACTAGTTGGAAATGGGATTTTTAACCAGATGTATCTACATGTGTATCTAGTAATAGACAACAGACGATAAATTGATACTTGCAAATAGAAGAAATGTAACAATCGCCCGATTACTAGATTTTCACTGTCGTTACCCAAAAGTTGCAATCGCATAAAAATCTAGTAATTTAGATAAATTGGGCAATACTATTTTTTATATTTTTTGATGCTTGGGAATCAACTACAATCAATTCATGTTGAATTTCGAATAAAATCATGACCATTTTCTTTTGTCCGATTTTAGTTGCAGTCCAGCCACTTGTTCGAAGGATATTTCGAGCCCTGACCTCGAGCTCGACCCCTCGAAAAATGCGACTTCAGGCCCTCGATATAAGCATTCGAGAGGTTATCGATTTCGAGGCCTCGGATTTCAGATAGGTAACAAACCCTCGAGACAAATGCTGACGTGAGCCATCGAACAGAGATGTTCGGGACCCAAGCAGACGACAAGACTTTCGATTTTTACTTGAGAGCTCAAAACCGATAACCCCTCGAACGTTTATATCGAGGGTCCGAAGTTTCATTTTTCGAGGGATCAAGTTCCCGGCGAAGACCCATTTTCGAGTACTCGACGTACCCCTCGAATCCATGGGAGTATCGAGAAAATGTCTTATTATTATGATTAAAAACAAACTTTGTCTCTCTTTTGATGTATCTGTCATTCAATAAAGTTCCAGTTCATATAAAAAAACAAAAAAAAATGTTTCGGTCATATAAACATGAAGAAAAACGATCTTATCTATCTGTCTAATTGTTTAAACTTTGAGATCAAACAATGTTATTCTATTCTTGTTAAATTATACATTTTATTATCATCAATTAATTTATTTCTATGTATAAGTCAAAATATACCTCTCATTCATCTAATGTGTTCATACACGATATTAACTTACTATCGGCATAGTTTCATTAATTAATGAACAGTACATAATGAAAGAGAGTGAGCCAAAAGAAAATTATATCTTATTATCAGAATTCATTAGTAGTGTGCATAAGTACCGTTTAATAATTAAAGAGAAATAAAAAAAAATTACTTTTTAACTTACAGATTTATTAGGAGACGTCATAAAAAGACTATATTTCTATTCAACTGTCTTCAATTTTATTTTTCATTTAAGTATAAAATATTAATACTGTTAGTAGTCCTCTTATATATATATCGTCGTTTCATTTTCATTCTATTGAAAATATCGATGATGATGATGATGAACAAAATAGAATAGAGAATTAATGACTGTTCTAACCTTATATTTAACTGACTACAGGATATAAAACAGTTAGATAAGAGAATCCGATCAAGGTTAACGATGAAAAGTTTTTTTTTGTAGAATAATTAATCACTTGTATTCATTGTCTATATCTGGTCATTAATTGACAGTATAAAGAAACAAAAAGATTTATTTTCTTTTATTTCGATGTTTGGGTTGAATCTCTTTCTCTAATTCCACTATATACGAGTGGATATTTGCCTCTTTATCAAGGTCATAATTGACTATAGAAAAAAAAAAAAAAATAACTTTTAGTTCATTGTTGTCAAACAATTTATATTCATTTGCATGCTCATTAAACTATCGTGATAAAAAAAAAAAATAAAATAATGTCCATCCATTTACACATGTTCAAAATAGAGTTCAAATATCATATATATACATACCAATTCTTCTAACTGATCAATACGTTTACGTAATTCAAGATTTTCATCTTTCAAGGTTGATACTTTTTCATCGAATTCTCTGATTTTATTCTAGATAAAAATAAAAATTGAATGAAGTGAGTTTTTATGAAAAGAGTATAAAAGACATAAAAATGAATGGCTATTAATGGTTCACATTACCAAAAAAAAGAATTTAATGTTTTTTGGATTTTCATTTGTTCAAGGCTTTACTCTTCTTTATTACTTTTGTACAAAAAAAAAAAATGCTTTGTAATATCAAAAGATTGGAAAATATTGAAATAGAATATGCAAAAAAAAGTTCACTCACCTCATAATTCGCCGTTGTTTTATTTGAATCATCTTGTAATTTATTCTTCCAACGAAGGAAGACACTCATTTTTTATCATGTACACCAATGATGTTGATTGTACTAAACAAAATGATAAATAGTTTTTTGTCCTGATTTTGTACAGTAGAATGAACAAAAAAACCAAAATAGTAAAGTTGACATTTACAAAAAGTAGAAAGTAATCTATCTGTATTGTTGTGTTTTGTTTTTTTTTGAAACGAAAAACAAAAAAAGATGAGAACAAGAGAGAAATATGGATATAAAATTCGAGTTCAACGAAAAATACTCTCTTTTTCTATCTTTATCCGTTCACAAAAGTTGAAAGAAAATGAAGAGAAAGACAAAATTGAATTTTATAATTATAGTAGTAGAATATACTAAAGAAAAAAACATAATACAGATTTCTTTCGCTTTAAAAAAAAAATGAGTCTGTTCAATGTAGAATATACACATGTCCTTTGTCTCTTGTTCTTTTCTTCTTTTTTTTTTTCTTCTCGTACATTTTTTTTCGTTCTCTCTCTCCTCTCTCTCTCTCTCTAAGATCATAATTAATAGCACACGTCTCTATATACGTTTGTACGTCACGTTGTTCATAATATATCCATCTCTATGATGATGGTAGTATAGTGATGATGATGATGATGAAGAGGGAAGGTATCGTCTAGACATTGACAACAAGAATAACTGAACAGGTTAATTCTTTAACTCGAATAAAAATATATTTTAATCGATAGGTTCAAAGATATCAATAAATATTATGAAGAGTGCGCATGAACGAACAGAGATATATTAAATTTAAGCTATACAATTTTTTTTTTTTTGCTTTTTTTTTATTGTCAAAAACGATCTGATCTAAGTTTTCATATAAACTAAAATTATTTTTAACTTCTTCTGAGTCATTTTTTTTTTACAAACATCGATGGTGTAACATAAGTTGATAAACACAGTACAGTTGAAGTTGATCAAAAGTTTTAATTTTTAAACAAAATTTCAAGATCCACATGGATCTGAAATATTTCAAAACTCTCTAGAAAATTACTAAAACGAGTCATTCTCGATTTTCTGATTTGAAATGCGTTTGTTTTTGAGCTACATATTTGTGATCAATGCCTAAAAACTCGGATAGAGTTCGTCAGAATTTTTGAATAAAATCTTTTCTTCATATTTCAATCGATGTGAATTAACCAACAGATTTTGTTTTTTTGTTAAGAAAGGGAAATAATCAATTGTTTAACTTCTATTGTGCCACAACTCTAACGTCTTATTGATCATATAATCGCTTTATCATATGATCAAAAACATGTGTTCTTGGTTTAGGAAAAATTGTGTAAATGTATTAATGATCACTACTCAACTTGTATCACCATTATCCAAACTTATTTTATATGGTTTAGCTGATATTTCTGACATTAAAAATATTTACATCGGAACGAAAATTGATTAGAGTTTTTTTTTTTGTTTTGTTCTGAGAATAATATTCAGGAAAATCTGTCCTCGTTTAATATCTTACCATTGATCTACGAATATTGTACATCAACTGAGATAATAGAACTTTCGCTGTCTCATTAAATTCACGCACTACTTTTTGTTATGAGAGAGAAAGGTTTCAAGAAATTTCAATAAAATTCGACTCGATTAATGATGTTGATTACAAATATAAAAATAACAGTAAAAAAACTGATAAGATTTGGCGTATTTTGAGGTATCTAACAAATATTTTATGAGTTATATCTTAAGTGATTTTTATTTTTTAAAGAACTGCTATTGTAACAACGATAGCAGAGGATTAAAACTATTACTCAACTCAGTCTTTAGAAGTCAAACACACACTCTCTCTCTCTCTCTCTGACGAAGAGATCTATCAAGTTATGAAATTGTTCTTCTTACCATCCGTAGAAAAATAAATGAATAAAACAGAAACCAGGTCTTATGCACACAGTTTTTACTTTGAAACTTGTAGTCATGTACGGGATAAACTATCAATATTTGCTTTCTCATCGATAAAAAAAGAGGAATGTAGACATAAGTTTTCTATAAAACACTGTAATCTTGACAAAAAGTAGCAAACTTACGATAAAATTGACCATTAGTTGAATAGAGACCATAAAGTGCATATAATCTTCCAATAAATGGTCTCAAAATTAAATTTTTTTAATCATAAACTTCTTCTTACTAACTTAGTTGTTTTGAATCGATGTTATGTTTTATAGTCTTCAATTTACTCAGCGTCTCTACGATAATCATCGTTATTTAATCGTTTAAATTGAAGCGTATAGTCGTCATCATTAATCATATTTTCGTTTTATCAATTACGTATTTACCGTTAGAGTAATAGTTTTTCATACTAATATGATTCGATTGCTCACTTGCTTTTATGTCATTTTAACGCATTAATAAGTATTCAATTTAATACTTGAATGAAAGAAAAAGAAAGTCAAAAACCTGTAAGTGCAGTGAACGTTGATCTTCCGGTATGTATCTTATTACTACCTTCTACTGAACGATTACGCAATTTTTATTCTAGAGAGAGAGAGAGAGAGATATTGACTAAACTACTTAAGGCATTATCATAATCACTAAGTTCTTGTGCGAGAATGATGTCAGAAAGAGAGAAAGAGTATAGATGTATATGTTCATAAGAAGTTGCAATTAATAAAATCACAACAATCAATCTCAGTCATTCTACCTAATCTTTTTGAAAAATGTATTATCTTTTTCCTTTTATACTCTACATATGAGGAGGAGAAGAAAAGAGAATAACCGTCCAATATAACTGATATCCTTACAGCCACGATTAATTCACTTTCATTCGTCATCTAAACATAAACACATCAAATCACACCATTACTGTTATTCTATGACAAACTCATACCAGGCATCGTGAACAAAGAATGATGATGTTTTATTACATAATTGTTGTCATATATACACAAAGAATAATAGCAATCGAACGAAAAAGAATCAATAGTCTTTTCTCTTCTTGTATAGGCAAAATGTTGAGACTTTTTCTTCGTCATATTGGACAATTCGAACAGCATAACGAGAAAAGGGCAGCAAAAATATAAGAAGACAATCTACAATTTTCATGCTTTTTATATCAAAAGTGTCTGTCCATTAACCACTCTTACTTTGTGCGAGTTAAAAGAGATATTCATCTTTTTATTTCTAATTCATCTTGTAAGAAGAGATAATTCTACTCAATGTAATTGAAACATCTATTTCGAAGTTAAACAAAAAGTTTCTTAGTTCTTCTTCTGCATACTTTCAAAACTCAAGGATACACTGCTGTTGGTACTATAACACCAATATAAAGAAAATTGATGACAGTTAAGACAATTAAGAGAGTAATAAAATATGAAGGTGAATACATTTTCGCTCAAGATCAGAATTTCTCTTTCTCAAGCATTAGCAACAATCACATTGCTCTCATCAATTGGTAAAATAGAGAAATAAATAACAAGCATTAAGTGTAAAATAAACAAAAAACAATATAGACTGTGAATAAAAAAAAAACATATTTCCATTCTTATTGGAAGCAGAATATCACACAAAGTAGCCTCTAGTCAAAATTTTACAAAGAAGGTCAACTAAAAGTTAAAAAAGAAAAGAAACGTGCTCGAGAGAAATCAACATATTTTGTTTAATGGAAATAACATTAAGTTGAATTTTTTTCTTTCACAATAAGATCTTATATTTTGAACTTTTCACTATTTTTGGCTATACTCGAGCGACTTGAAATCAGTTCTCACTAACACAGCTGGAAGGCGTTCATTTACAAATCAAAAAAACTTGTGCAGAAGAGTTATGTTTTTCGATTAGGTTGTCCATGTCGTTTGCACTGAGGATTCGGATATAAAGCAAGGACAGTCAAATTCGCGCTTCCTTCAGTTCTCCTTTGTTTATATTTCTTGTTAAATTCTTCTCTACAATGACTATGGAGAAGTAAATAAACAAGAAAGAGCTCGCAACAAGGACTTAACGTAATCATTCTGTGCTTATTTTATCCTTATAGGATCTATAAGTACAAAACAAACTCAGTGAGGTGCTCGATGTTTAGTTTGTACTGTGATACAGATACAAATGCATTGTATTGTAGTTTAACGAGATAAAATAGTAAGAGTTTCAAAGGCAAAGAGTGAGGAAAGAATGATTTTTTTCTTTCTTCTATTAATCGATGTCTTTTTTTTTGATTTTACAAACGTTAATTAGTTTAGATTTTGGAATGAGATGAAGATTGAGAACTAGGTAAACATCTCTAAAAATCTTAATGTCAATCTTATGATGTATTTATCTTCTAGATATGCGAAAATAATCAACGTACACTTAGCCTATGAAAGTAAAAACTAACGAGGAAACCGCCCGAGGTTTTAAATTGATTTCGGATTGGGACTATTTTTGTTAGAAAGTCCCTAACGAATAGTGAAATATCTCAGCTTATTCCCATAGTGCTTTGTTGCTGAAATACTGAATTTTTAGTCAGTTTTTGCGTATAGAGCTTGGTGTTCGAGAAAAATTCGACTTTCAAATTTTGATTTCAACCTTGCCACACTTGTAGCCCGTTGTCATAGCAGTACGACGGAAAAATGTTCGGTGCTAATGAATTTTCCTGCCTTGAGATATTGAGATTCGAACATTTCACCAGAAGGTAAGGATGAGGGTCAAATATTCGAATCTCAATATCTCAAGCAGGAATTTTTCCGTCGTACTACTATGACCATGGGCTACAAGTGTGGCAAGTTTAAAATCAAAATTTGAAAGTCGAATTTTGCTCGAAATCCAAGCTCTATAGGTAAAACTGACTAAAAATTCAGTATCTCAGCAATAAACCACCATAGGAAATAAAAATAGAAAATCTACTGGATTATCAAATATCTTGAATACAAAAAAGCACTTCTTCACAACTCTAAATGAACTTTATTTTTTTCTTCACGGTGATATGCCGTTTTTTTTTTTCTCCTTAAAATTATTATCGAATTTTGTATACTTGCCATTTTAAATTATAGACTCAAATAATTTTCTTCTTTCTTGTTTAAAGTTTTTAAGATAAA